GGGCCCCGGTCCCCGGCGGAAACCGGCCCAAGCCCCCGGTCTCGGCTCCGCCACAAGCCCCCGCTCGCGCCCCGGGCGCTGAATGCCCCCCGCCCCCCCCGGGCCAGGCTGGGGGCGCCGCGCGCTGCACGGCCCCGCTCCGCACGGGACCTGGAGGAAACCCCGCGCCCCGGCCCCGCAGTGCCCGCACGAGGGCAGTGTTGGCCGACACGTGCTGCGAGCGCCGCGCGCCTGGCCCGATGCGCGGAAAGCGGTGGGCGCGGGGTCCGGACAGCACCTGGCACCCCCTGATCCCAGCCTGGGGGTTCATACAGCACCCAGCACCCCCTGATCCCAGCCCTGCGGGGTCTGGACAGCACCCAGCACCCTCTAATCCCAGCCTGGGGGTTCATACAGCACCCAGCACCCCCTGATCCCAGCCCTGCGGGGTCTGGACAGCACCCAGCACCCTCTAATCCCAGCCTGGGGGTTCATACAGCACCCAGCACCCCCTGATCCCAGCCCTGCGGGGTCTGGACAGCACCCAGCACCCTCTAATCCCAGCCTGGGGGTTCATACAGCACCCAGCACCCCCTGATCCCAGCCCTGCGGGGTCTGGACAGTGCCATCTGGCCTCTCCAAAAAGCCAGCTGCCCTGCTGACATCCGTCTGCCTTGCCCAGCCTCTGTGCCCCAGTGGCGCAGCCCTTGGAAGGTGGCTCGGATTCCGGAGCTCCTTAATTACCTGAGTAATGTTTCTCATTAAGTCCCGCGGGTCAGTTACAAGGGCTGAACCCACCCCCCGCCCCCACCTGCCCTTGGACTCTGGTCCCAGGTCCTGCAGCCACGGAGGGGCCACGAGCCGTGAGAGCGTCTGGGCCCTGGCACTCGGCTGGAGGAGTGGTCACAGGCTCTGAGCTGGGTGCCGTACAGACTGCCCGCCCCCCCCGGCCAAGATCAGGGGGCTGCAGGCACTGTGCGTACCCCCCAGGCCAACATCAGAGGGCTCTGGGCACTGTATGGACCCCCCAGGCTGAGATCAGGGGGCCCCAGGCACTATAAAGACAATTGGGGCCCCACTCTTATCACTAGGCGTCAGTCCTCCATCTCTTGCCCTCTAACCCTTTGCTTTATACCCAGGCTGACTGCATGTTCTCTCTGCTTCCCAGACTCCCAGCCTTCCTCCCCCGCCAGCCCAGCCCAGCTCTGACCAGCCTCCAGGGTCCCTGTGATGGGGGCAAAGGTAGGGACATCACCACCCTCCTTCACTCATCTGATCCAGGCCGATCCAATGCACTTTCCTCCCTTGCCCTTTCCTCTCCGTGCCTTCACATTCCTTCAGACCCCCCCGCCCCCTTCCTCTAACTTTCCTCCCCCAGTTAATCCCCGTCAAACAAGAGTAAAACTTTAACCCACCGAGCCGATTAAACCCTTATATAATCCCCCTCCTGGACCCCCATTCCACCCACAACAGGGTTGGGGGGTGGGGAGACAGGGAAGCTGGAGAGACCAGGGCCAGCACTGGAGGCCTGGGACTAGCCAGGGGGACATGAGATTGGCCAGAACAGGGTGAAATTGCCAAGACGGGGATTGAGCTCAGCAAGAGGGAAGGTTTGAAACCGGGGAGAAGAGAATGAAATTGACCGGAAGGGGGAGAAATTGACCAGAAGTGGGTGAAAGAGACCAGAAGAGGATTGAGATTAGGGAGGGGAGGGGGTTGAGATAGGGAACAAGTAAGTGGAATTGCCAAGGAGACAGACCAGCAAGGGGAGGGAGTTGACACTGGTGAGAAAGGGGTGATCTGGACCAGAGGTGGGTGAAATAGACCAGAAAGGGGTGAAATTAGCAAGCAGAGGCTTGAGATCAGGAAGGGGAGGGTTTGAAATTGGCAGGAAGGGGGTGACACAGACCAGGAGGAGGTCAAATAGACCAGCAGAGAATTGAGGTAAGTCAGGTGAGGGTTTGCAACTGGCAAGAAGAGGGTGAAATTAGCAGCAGGGAAGTAGACTGGAGGACAAAAAACAACCCTGAAATTGCCGGCAGGGCTAAAAACAGCCAGGAAGGGGGTTGAAATTGCCAACGTCGGGGCATCTAAGGCTTGACCTCCCACTCAGCCACGGCTTTCCTCCACGGGGCATCCGGGAGCCAGCAGCCAGCCCTCTGTTTTCCAACCACAGGGGGACAAGGCCAAGATCCTCCTCTGTTCCCTGAAGCCGGAGCCCCCGCGGCAAAGCCAGAGAAGCCAGTTTGGAGCCGGGAGGGGGAAGGCTGGGCTCCTTTGGGGTTGTGTAACATAATCCCAGTGGATCAGGAGTGAGATCTCTGGAGGGAAGAGGAATCTCTGTAGCTTGATCATGACGTTCGCTGAGTTTCTGCAGCAGGTTGGGGGCATGGGGCGCTTCCAGGTGATCCACACGGCTCTGCTCACCGTGCCCATCGTGCTTATGGCGAGTCACAACCTCCTCCAGAACTTCACGGCGGCCGTGCCCAGCCATCGCTGCCAGCTCTGGGCGGGCGGTAGTGACCTCAATGCCAGCCTGGACCTGGTGCCCCTGGACAGGAACGGGCAGCCAGAAAAATGCCGGCGGTATGTGGCTGCCCAGAGACATCTCCTGGACCCCAATGGCACAGAGGGCAATGGCACACGTGTGGACACAGAGGCATGTGTGGATGGCTGGACCTATGACCGGAGCGTGTATGCTGCCACCATCGTCACTGAGGTGGGGCCGGGAGCGGGCCGGGATGGATGGATGGAGTGGGTAGCTGGACATAGATGGAGGGATACATGGAAGGAGTGGTTGGGGATGGATGGATAGAGAGATAGGCAGCTAGAGGGGTAGTTGGGGATTCATGGATGGATGGGTGAAGGGGACAGCTGGGGACAGGGGATGGATGGTTGGGGTGGGTAGCTGGACATGGATGGATGGATGGATGGAAGAGGTGGTTGGGGATAGATGGATGGATAGATAGAGAGAGACAACTAGAGGGGTAGTTGGGGATGGCTGGCTGGCTGGCTGGGTAAAGGGAGCAGTTGGGGTTGGATGGATGGAGGGAAGGGATATTTGGGGGTGGACAGACAGAGGGGGCGGTTGGGGATACATAGAAAGAGGAATAAAGAGGATGAATAGTCGGTGTCATAGGTGGTTAAATGGACATCTCTACCTGCACCCCGCCGTGTGCCACCAGGCGTTTGTCCGTCCATCCATCCCCATGGTGCCCCACTGTCCCTCCCCTCCCTCTGTCACATCCATGCCATCATCTCTTCACCAAACCATCTATCCAGGCAGCCTGTACACACCCCAATACCCCTCCATCCATCTAGTGATCCATCCCTCCACCCCATACAGGCTCCAGCCATCCCCGTATACTCCCTGCTGCCCCTCTACCAATTTGTCTGTCCAGCCCCCCAAAAACATCCATCCATCCATTGACCACCCACCCATCCAGCCAGCCCTGGAAGCCTCTCCCTCATCCCATCCCACCCCTACCTTGAAGCAGTACAGGGAGCCCCCAAACCAGGATCAGGCCCCGCAAGGGCCACAATCACCCTAGGGGTCATGGCCCTCATGCAAGGGCAGGATCCTTGTGCGAGGGGCTGACATGTCAGGCTATGCCCCAGCCAATGTCCGGGCATCTTAGGGTCTCCCCTCCCCTGCCCCCTCTGCAGTGGGACCTGGTCTGCGACCTCCGGAGTCTCCGGCAGATGGCCCAGTCGATCTACATGGCCGGGGTACTGGTGGGAGCCCTGGTGCTGGGGGGGCTCTCGGACAGGTAAGTCCCACCCCTCCTACCCCACCCATGGGCCACGATCTCAACCTGGGGGGGCTGTCCAGCCCCCAGCAACCCCCAATCCCAGCCTGGGGGGTCTGTATACCCCCTGGTGCCCCCCCAATTCCAGCTTGGGGGGTCTGTACAGCGCCTGGCACCCCCCGATCTTGGCCAGGGGGTGCGTGTCCATTGTCACAGGGCCCCGATCTCACCTCTGCCTGTAACTGATGCTGCCGCCCTGGCCCCAGGTTTGGGCGCAAGCCGCTGCTGGTGTGGTCCTTCCTGCAGATGGCCGTGATGGGCACCTGCACTGCCTTCGCCCCCAACTTCATCTGCTACTGCGTCTTCCGCTTCCTCAGCGGCATGGCCCTGTCCGGCTTCGGGCTTGGCATTGCCTGCCTGGGTGAGTCTGGATAGCGCCCTGTGCCCCCAGTTCCAGCCTGGGGGTCTTGTATAGTGCCCAGCACCCCTGATCTCCATCTGGGGGGTTTGTGCAGTACCTGGCACCTCCCAGTCCTAGCCTGGGGGGTCTGTACAGCACCCAGCACCCCTGGTCCCCGCTCGGGGGATCTGTACAGAGCCTAGTGACCCCCACTCCCAGCCTGGAGGGTCTTGGCAGGACCCAGTGACCCCCAGTTCCAGCCTCTAGAGTCTGGACAGTGCCTGGTGCTCCCCGGTCTTGGTCTGGGGGCTCTGGACAGTACCCAGTACCCCTGATCCCAGCCTGGGCATCTGTTCAGCACCCAGTGCCCCCCCAGTTCTGGCCTGGGGGCTCTGTACAGCACCTGGTGCTCCCTGGGACTGGGGCATTCTCCCAGTGGGACCCAAATCCGGAGCTGGTTTGAACTGGGATAGGGGCATTCTTTCAGTGGGGACCCAGATCTTGAACTCATTTGAATTGGGACTGGAGCAGATTCCAGGGGGGGACCCAGACCCGACAGGCTGGACCTGGGGCCGGGAGCAGGGCACGGTGACACTGACGGGGGTCCTGTTGCCTCCCAGTTGTGGAGTGGATCCCTACCCAGTACCGCACCATCGCCATAGCCATCACCGGCTTCGTCTACACCCTGGGACAGATCCTGCTGGCCGGGGTTGCCTATGGGATAAGTGACTGGCGCTGGCTCCAGTTTGCCGTCTCCGCCCCCTTCTTCCTCTTCCTCTGCTACTCCTGGTAGGATGCCTGCTTCTCTCCCCTGTCCTGGGAGGGGAGCGGGGGCTGAGGGTTGGAGCAGGGGGGCTGGGAGCCCGGATGCCTGGGTTCTTTGGGTGGGGGGGTGCGAGCAGTGGGGCTGGGAGCCCCGACACCTGGGTTCTCTCCCCAGCTGTGCCACTGCCCTCTCAGAGGTAGCCCTCTGCCCTGCCCTGTCTCCGTTTCCTCACCTCCCATGACAGACCCCCAGGGTCTCCCCCAAGCCCAGGCCCTGGGGAGAGAACCCAGGCATCCACGGTCTCTGCCCCCACCCAGGTGGTTCACCGAGTCGGCCCGCTGGCTGTTGCTGACCAGCAAGGCCGAGAGGGCTGTGGGGGTCCTGCGGCACGTGGCCAGAGTCAACGGGAAGCAGGAAGAAGGGGAGAAGATCACGGTGGAGGTACAGAGCCTGGCCCTGGGCTGCCGTAATGCTGCTAAGAACGGGCACTTCATAATAGGGTCCCCTGGGCTCTGATAGGGGGCTACTGTAATGTTGCTTGTAACCGGCATCTCATAAAAGGGCCCCTGGACTTTGCTTGAGCCTTACCATAATGCTTCTAATAACAGGTATCTTATAATAGGCCCCTTTGGGCTGTAATGGGGGCTGCCATAATTCTGCTAATAGTGTGCATCTCATAATAGGGCCCCTTGGGTTCCAATAGGGGCTAATGTAATGCTGCAAATAGTGTGCCTCTGGTAACTGAGGCCCCCTGGTCTCAGCTGGGGCTACCATAGTATTACTAATAGCATGCATCTCATAACCAAGCGCCCCTGGTCTCAGCTAGACACTACCACAATACTGCAAATAACTGGCATCTCATTATTGGTACAAGAAAAATAATTTAGATGCTACCTTAATGCTACTAATACTGTCTCCCTGAAATGGGGGGAGGTTGTGAGGAGGCTGTGGGCACTATTGTAATACAGCTAATAAAGCAAAACCACCAATGGGGTCCTGATCTTGGCGGGAGGGCACAGCCACATACCTCTAGATATTACCATATTTCTACTAGTAAAGTTGCATATATGTTGAAGCTCTGATTTTCCTGCTGGGGGGGGGAATCTGATCAGGTGCTACTGTAGTACTTCTAGTAGTGCTCACCCCAAAAAGGGGCCCTTTATGTTTTGCCTAGAGATGTCTCCCTTACCTGACATTCAAAGTATTTGGGATCATAGCACATCTGAGCCCTTTGGCCATCGCTGAGTCTTCACAACAGGGTGGGAGTGGAGGTGGGGAGGGCCAGATGCCTCTGGATTAACCCTTCTCTTCCCTTGGGGGTGCCAGATCCTGAAATCCAACATGGAGAAGGAGTTGTCCACAGTCAAGTCCTCCTACACCATCTCTGACCTGGTGCGGACACCAGTTGTGCGCCGCATCTTCTGCTGCCTCTCCGTCGTGTGGTAAGACCTACTTAATGCCCTTCCCCTCACCACCAAAACCAAGAGACCTCTCTCCCTGTCTAGGCTCTGACCCCTGATCCGTCTATAGCAGCCAACCCCGGGCCTTTTAGCCCAGCAGCAATGACGTAGAGCACCCAGTGCACTGTGGGAAGCAGATACCGTATCTTCTCACATATCACACACCCCCACATAGAATCATAGATAAGTTGGGCTACAAGGGACTTCTGTGGGTCATCTAACACACCTAAGGCACTGGACTAGATCCCATGAGATTTCTTCCAGTCCAACTTTCCATTGATCTTACATCCCTTGTTGGCATAAATCATAGGATCGTAGAGAAGTGGGGCTGGAAGGGCGCTCCAGAGGTCATTTCTAGTCCAAACCCCTGCCTGAAGCAGGATCAGCCTTGTCCAAATCATCCCAGACAATCCATTGTCCCACCTCTTAGTAAATGGGGTGTGCTGGACTCCCTAAGGCCCTGTCCAGCCCGCTACTCTTGGAGATTCCCCATCTTGGTCATCTCCTCCCTCTGCTTTAGGTTCTCTGCTAGCTTCTCCTACTATGGGCTGGCCATGGACCTGCAGAACTTTGGGGTCAGCATCTACCTGATCCAGGTCATCTTTGGGGCCGTGGACTTCCCAGCCAAAGTGGTGGCGACCATCTCCATGAGCTACATCGGGCGCCGGGTGACGGTCTCGGCTTGCCTCATCCTGGCCGGGCTCGTCATCATCGCCAACATCTTTGTGTCCAGAGGTGGGTCCAGAGCACCTCCCATGACAGAGATGGGAGTACTGGAGAATGGAGGGGATGTGGGGGCAGGACTAGGTGGAGTCCTAGAATAGGACTTACTCAGCCTCATGGACAATTCAGCACCCAGGCATTCATCCCTGTATACACCCGTCCATCACCACCCACCCACCCACCTACACAACCACCCATCCATGCCCACCAAATCCACACCACAACCTAGCCATCATCCCCACACTTACCTACCCAACAACCTACCTACCCAACCATTCATCTCCATACCCAACCGCCTCTCTATTCATCCACCCACCCAGACCCCTCATCCATCCATTGACCCACCCACTCTCCCCAGATCAGATCCTCCTAGCCATCCATCCATCAATCCATCCCTATACACATCCATCCGTCTCCATATACATCTGTCCATCCCTCTGTCTATTCATCCCTATAAACATCCATCCAGCCATCCATCTCCATACATATCCATCCATCCTGCAGGGCAAGTACGATAAAGGGGGTGAGGGATGGGGATCTTGGGAGCTCAGGAAGGATGGTGACAAGGGTTGGGGGGCCAAGGAGGGACCTCACAGCATCCAGGGCAGCCTTAGGCCCTTGGATCTTCTCTGTTGCCATCCCCCAGACCTACAGACAGTGCGCACGGCATTGGCCGTCATTGGCAAGGGCTGCCTCTCAGCTGCTTTCAACTGCGTGTTCCTGTTCACCACCGAGCTCTACCCCACCCCGATCAGGTAAGAGCATGGCACTCCCCTGATGCTGATGGTGTATAGAGTCTCCCATCCAGACTCTGACCCATTCCCACCCTTCTTGGCTTCCAAGGGATGGCACTAACCCTCTCCTGTCCCTCTTGCTCACATCTCTGTGGACCTAGGCAGACCGGGCTGGGCTTCGGCAGCACCATGGCCCGAGTAGGTGGCATTGTGGCCCCACTTATGACTATGACAGATGAGTACTTCCCCTGGCTTCCCCCAGTGGCCTATGGGGCAGCCCCCATGGCCTCTGGCCTCATCGCCATGTTCCTCCCAGAGACCCTCAATGTCCCGCTGCCAGACACCATTGAGGAGGTGGAGAACAGGTTGGTCTGGGGCTTGGGGATAGGGGTCACCAATGTGGTGCCCCAATACATTGGATGGATGGATGGGGTGTATGGACAGACAGGCAGACTGAGAGAGAAAGAGGGAGGTGTATGGGGATGCAGAGTGAGGCAAACTCCTTTTTCATGTCCCCCTACTGCTGTGTCCCCCCCCAAAAGGTCCAGAAAGAAGACAACAATGAAGGAAACCAAGGAGATGATCCCATTGCAGAACCAGGACAAAGTGCTATTCAAAGAGACTTGCTGAGGGCTCCGGCAACCCGGTGCCTTCCTGATCCACCAGCGGTGGGTGGGTTCAAGTGATCTCTTCCCTGAGGTGGCTGCACACCCATTTCACACTTGCCCCTCCAGCCCCTGAGCTAAGAACCTCCCCGGCTGGGGTTATTTTTTTTTGGCATGCACCCAGTGGCCTTGTGATGATTGTAATGATGATTACGACTCTTCTGTTTCACACGCAAGGCCTGGGGCAGGGGAAAGGGACCTCTTCAGCCAAGCTCTCAGGAGTGCGCAGACCCCAAAAACGCGTGCAACCCCCCAGCCTGACTATTTTTGCAGCCCTCCAGGGGTATCAGATAACCACACTGCTGTTCTTTAGCGGAGGCTGTCCCATTCCTTGGGCGTTGTACCTCCTGCTGCCATGGGGGGTGGGGGGCGGTGAGGGGGCCAGCCCCCTATCAGTGCAGTACACCCCAATGGCCACCAGGGCAACCACTCATGGAAGCTGCAATATCCCTTGTCACCGACCCAGCAAAAAACACAGGAGGGATGAATTTGACTCTCACAGTTGCGGTCTGGCCTTACCCACCCCCAGATGCAGCCAGTTGGGTGTGGGGGGGCGCAGCTGGGACAGCAATAAACAGTCCTGGTTGCAAACGGAAGTGCGTTGGGGTGTTTTGTAACAGCTGCAGGGGTAGGGGGGAAAGCCGCTCTGCCCCACTCTCCATCCCCATACACCTCTCTCTCTCATACGCTCTCTCTCTCTTTTTCTCTCTCTCTCTATTGGTCTACCTCTCTGTCCTTACACCCCATCCATCCATCCCCAACCACCTTCTCTATTTAACTATCCATCCATCCCCAACCAACTTATCCATCCATCCATCCATCCATCCAAGACAATGTAGGCTGTAGATCACACACACACACTGCAAGAGGCCAATACCCTATGCCTAGAGTTTTAGGATCAAAGGAAAGTTGGGCTGGAAGGGATCTTATGGTCACATCTAGTCCAGTCCCCTGCTCAAGGCAGGATGAAGGATCATCCCTGACTAAACCCTCCCAGCCAAACATCTGTCCAACCTGCTCTTGCAGATCTCCAGGGACCACATCTCTGGGCAGCCTGGTCCAATGCTTGACCACCCTCAGAGTCAGAAAGTTCCTCCTCCTCTCCAGCCTCCATTTCCCCTGCTGCAGATGAAGGCTTTTGCTCCTAGTCCTGCTTTTTACAGCCACAGATAAAAGCCTGTCTCTGCCCTCTCTGTCATCACCCTTCAGGGATCTGAAAGCTGTGAGCAAATCCCCCCTCAGTCTTCTCTTCTCCACACACAACCACAATACAGCAGTGGCATCTCCAGCTCCTGATTTATGACTGTCTTCTGCAAAGCAATTAAGTCATTAATGAATTAGTCCATAATGAGACTGATCAGCATCAAGCCTCCCTGGCTGCTTATTTGCCTTGGATATTAAGTTTGGGCTTTGTCTGTCACTGAAATGCAGCCACCTCTGGGGTAGAGCTCAGCAGCTACAGATGATACACATGTGCCACTAAATTACAAACACAAATGACCATACAACATGCATCTCCCCACCCCTCCTCCCCCACAACAAAATCCACCTTTCCAAAATTGGGATGCATATATTAAGCCAGTGTAGCACATTGGAGTCCCAGGGATGGCTGTGATGCTTCCTGGTGGCGCCCTGACTGTGTCTTGCTCTATGCCTAGGATGCCCTCCCTTCTCGCTTGCCGCACCTTGATGGAATAATAATAATAGGGAGGCTGCCTACAGGCCTTCACGTGGCCCCAGTCCAATTGGACCCCCACTTGGGTTCCTTGGCACCCTACTGGTCTCTACTGCTCCCAGGCCCCTTGCCAGGACTCTTAGGTGGACTGTGCCCTGCAGGGTACCTAAAGCCTTAGGGGCTAATTGTATGGCTTCCTTACACCTTACAATCCTTCCTTACACCACGCCCCAAGCCTTGTGGGTGTTATTGTAATGTTGTTCTCTAGTTAGGGCTTTGGCCTCCTCAGCCTCCACCCCTTTACTCTAGCTAGGCTTTCTAGCTTAGGCCCATTGTATCAGACCTGGGTTTGAGGCATCAGCTCTGGTTTGGTCCTTTCAGGCACCGGGCCCCCAGTTCCTGTCTGTTGGGTCCCTGGCCCCTGTCTGGTTGCGCCCCCCTTGGGCACTGGGCTCCTGGCCTCTGTCTGGTTGCGCTTCTCTTGAGCACCGAGCCCCTGGTCCCTGTCTGGTTGTGCCTCCCTCGCCCACCCCCCTCCTGGCCCCTGTCTGCTTGCACTTCTCTTGAGCACCGAGCCCCTGGTCCCTGTCTGGTTGTGCCTCCCTCGAGCACCCGGCTCCTGGCCCCTGTCTGGCTCTGTGGCCTCACTCTGCCCACTTTGGGCTCAACAGTCATTCCAGCCTTGAGTCAGCCCCTGGCAGGGCTCAAGGTGATTGTGTGTCCCTTGGGCACGAATGGGACCTCCGTACCATATACCGTCCCTACAGTCCCAACCCAAACCACCGGCGTAACTACAACAGAAACATAAGCCCCCAAGCTATAACAGAAACAACAAGAGGGAAAGAAGTCCTCTGCCCCTTTAAGAAGGCAAGTCTTCCCTCACCGCTAGTGCTGGCAGACCTCCCAGCCCCGGACTGTCCCTGCAAGCTCCCCAAGCCTCCCTGGGGCTCCACAGACAAGACAGTCCCTTCAGGAGCCCTGCTGCCAGGAGCTCTTCAACATGTGGCTGCCAGGGAGAGACTCTCTCGCTAGCCCAAGCCTCAGGCATATAGCCTCCCTGGGCCCTGCCCTTTTAGTCAGCAGACTGCCGGGACTGCCTGCAGGTGCCTGCTACCTGGTCCAATTGCCCTGTGGTCATGGGGACCTGCAGCTGCTGAGCCCTGCCTGCCCTGCAGTGCTCCCCAGCTGGGCTGTTTCTACCTTAAAGGAACAGAGAGCCCCAGACTCTCTGCTACAGTGAGGAAGATGATTTTTCTGCCCGAGATAGAAGCAGCCTACTTGGATTCCAGATACTCCAATCCCATCTATCCATCCATCCATCCATCCATCCATCCTTCTAACTTTCTTGATATCTAGTCTCATCCTTCCATCCATGTATCTCCTCTTCTTTTCACCCATCCATATACTCAACCCTTTATCTAACTATCCAAATAACTTCCCCAATCCATCTATCCATTCATCCATCTTCTCTCTTGCTTGATAAGTATCCTTGAATCCATTCAGCTACACATCTCTCTCTTTCCTGATATTTACTCCCATCTCTTTACACGCACATCTCCCAGCCTCAATCCATCCATGTACGCGGGCCTTTATTTCTCTATTCTGATAGCTACCTCCATCCATCCATCCATCCATCCATCCTTCTTTCTTGATATCTATTTCTAGCCCTCCACCCACACGTCTCTCCTCTGCTCATCCATCCATATACACAATACTTTATCTAAAGCAGTAATTCCCCCCCTGCACACCCAACTGCTTGCCCGCCCATCCATCCATCCATCCATCCATCCATCCATCCATCCATCATGTATATCTCTACGTGGATGTCTCTCTCTCACTGGATATCTATCACTATGCAGGCAGCCTGTGCATTCTGTGGACTGGGTTTGATGATCCAGAAGAGCTCTTTCCCATTATGCCCTAATGTTTATCAGCACTTGATGAAGTGAACCCAAATTCACAAAAGCTTGTACTCTATACATCTTATTTAGTTAGTCTATAAAGATGCGTATCTACCCTGCTTTCTGACCGACTTCACGCTAACATGGATAAATTTCCTCTCCCAATGTCCCTAACAGCCATTTCACCATCTTGTTCATTGCAGGTATCAGATCCTCATTCTAGGAAGGTCTTTCCTTGTGTGGCTGTTCTACACCTGGTATGGCAAGCCACCCCAATCTCAGCTGCTGCACCATGAGGCTAAGGAGACCTATAAAATATCATAGAGGGCAAGGCCCTTGGAGGTCACAGCTAGTCCATCCATCCAACTAACCAACCAACCAACCAACCAACCACGCATCCATCCATGATCACAAAGGGGTCATAGCTAATCTATCTGCCTGTCCAACCATCCATCCATCCAACCATCCAGGCAGAATCAGCATCCTTGACAAGGTTTTGCCCAATATACACAACAACCCTCTTCTACAACCATCAGGCCCAATGAACAAGACACCTCAAACCTCCTTGGACTTGTTCCAGGCCAAGTAATGGGACTGACAGTCCCAACAATGTCCTCTTTCTGCAAGGACAGGAAGGAAGTGGTTCAAATCTGCCTCAGATCCCAGGCAGGGGGCCATGCCCCCACTGCAGAGAAAGGTGAAATGACACCAATCTACATTGATCTGAGCAGGGGGTCTGATTCCTCTCTGATCCCCAAAGTGGTGCTGGGCTGACCCTGATGAAGGAGCACGACCCTCTCACCAGGAACTGTTGGATTGGGGTCCTAACAGGCTAAACCCAGACCAGTCCCAATCCCCAACCGCCAGGCTAAAAATAGCTCCCCCCCCCAATCTGGGTCTCTCTCCTGATCCAGTTAATTTTTAGCCTTGTGATGCACCGGAAAACATTCAAGTCTCATCAGAAATGCAGAAGAAACCTTGAACCTCAGCCCTAGGAGGAGCTTTGGACTCTGTCTCCAAGATCTCTCTCTTCAACGATTCTCTTCCTCAACTTAAGCCATCCAAGACGGGATAAAACTTTAACCACTCTTCAGCTTCAGGGC